GGGCGGCGGGGGAGGAGGAGGAGCAGGAGGAGGAGGAGGAGGAGGAGGAAGAAAAGGAGGAGGAAGAAAAGAAAAATGAGGATGAGGAGGAGGAGGACGAGGAAGAGGACGAGGATGATGATGAGGAGGAGGGGGAGGAGGAGGCGGAGGAGGAGGAGGACGAAGAAGAAGCATTATAAGAATAATCAGAAGAAGAATAAGACGAATAATAAGGCGAATACGAATAATCATAAGAAGGGGAGGAGGAGGAGCAGGAACAGGAGGAGGACGAGGAAGAGGAGACGGAGGAGGATAGTAATCATAAGACTAGTAACACTAATACTAAAACTATTACTAATAATAAAAGTAATACGAAGAAACATACTACTAAGAAGAAAAATCATCCTCAAACTAATACGACTAAGAAGAAGATGCACATTACAAAGGAGAAAGATCATAATACGCATACGAACAATACAAATACGAAGACGACGACGAAGAAGAAAACGAATAATAATAAGGCGACTACGACTCAGAAGACGAACGTGCATACAACAATTAAGACTAGTAGTAATAAGAAGAACAATAATACGAGTAACACGAATAACCAGAAGAATCCGAATACTAATAACAATAATAATTATCCAAGCGCGACCCTACTTAGGAGTTGGAACCCCTAGGAAAGCAGCTTTAGTAGCAACAGCTAAGCTAACGCTGAGCTAAAACTAAGCTAAATCTCAGCTAAAGCTAAGCCACAGCTAAGCTAGAGCTAAGCTAAAGCTAAGCTAAAGCTAAGCTAAAGCTAAGCTAAAGCTAAGCTAAAGCTAAGCTAAAGCTGAGCAGCAGCTAAGCTAAAACTAAGCTACAGCTAAGCTAAAGATAAGCTAGAGCTAAGCTAAAGCCAAGCTAAAGCTAAGCTACAGGTAAGCTAAAGCTAAGCTACAGCTAAGCTACAGCTAAGCTACAGCTAAGCTAAAGCTAAGCTAAAGCTAAGCTTAAGTTGAGCTAAGCGCTAAGCGAACACTAAGCGAAACGCTAAGCTAAAGCTAAAACTAAAGCTAAAGCTAAAGCTAAAGCTAAAGCTAAAGCTCCCGGGGGACTGGGGGGAACAGCTCCCAGGGGACTGGGGGAACCGCCCGGAGCGTGTTGCACTGCCCGGCCCCTTTAAGCTAAGAGAGTAAGAACCTTTCTAGGCAGAGCCTAGGTAGGGAATAATAATTATAATAATACTAGTACTACTAGTAATAATACGAGTACTAATTATACTAATACTACTAAGAATAACACTACCAATACTAGTAATAATAATATTAACAACACTAATGATACTAATAATAATATAGTAGTGATACTACAAATCATAATAATATTATCAATTAACAGAAAAAGAATAATACTGCTAATAACAAGAATACGAATAATACGATTACTAATAATAAGAAGATGACGAATGATAATACGACGAGTACGAAACATACTAATTTTGAGACGAACAATAAGAATAATACGACGACTAATACGACTAAAACGAATACTACTAATGGTACTACTACTAATAATAATAATATCAATAATAACAATAATAATAACAACTAATAGCAGTAATAATAATACTAATACTAATACTAAAAGCAATACTAGTAGAAGTCGTAGTCGTAATAATAGTAATACTAATACGAATACTATTACTAATACTAATAGTACTAATAATACTAAGAATATACTACTACGACGACTACTACTACTACTTCTACTACTACTACTACTCCTACTACTACTACTACTACTACTACTACTACTACTACGACTACTACTACTACTACTACTACTACTACTACTACTACTATTACTACTACTACTACTACTACTACTACTACTACTACTACTACTACTACTACCACTAATAAGAGGAGAAGGTGGAGGAGGAGGAGGTGGAGGAGGAGAAGGAAGAGGAGGAGGAGGAGGAGGAGGGGGAACAGGAGGAGGAGGAGGAGGAGGAGGAGAGGAGGAGGAGGAGGAGGAGGGGGAGGAGGGGGAGGAAAAGGGGGAGGAGGAGGAGGAGGAGGAGGAGGAGGAGGAGGAGGAGGAGGAGGAGGAGGGGGAGGAGGGGGGAGGAGGGGAGGAGGAGGAGGATGGAGGAGGAGGAGGATGAGGAGGATGAGGAGGGGGGAGAGGGGGGAGGAGGGGGAGGAGGGGGAGGGGGCAAGTTAGGTGCGCTCGCGTCAACATCTGACATCCTACCCCTCCCTCCCATCCCTTACCATGGCGCTGATTTTCTCTATCCGCGGACGCGTGTCGTAGCGGACCTGTGGCTCCGCGCGCGTGTGCGTAGTGGGTGGTGGTGCGCGTGCGTGCGTGCGTGTGTGCGTGGTTGTGGTTGTTGTGGTGGTGGTGTGTATGTGTGTGTGTGTGTGCGTGTGTGCGCGTGTGCTGTGGTGTGACGTGGTGTGGCGTCTTGGTGGTTTGGTGGTGGGCCAGGTGCGTACGTGCGTGATGGCGGTGGTGGTGGTGGGGTGGTGGTGTGTGTGTGTGTGTGCGTGTGTGTGTGTGTGTGTGTGTGTGTGTGTGCGTGTGTGTGTGTGTGTGTGTGTGTGTGTGTGTGTGTGTGTGTGTGTGTGTGTGTGTGTGTGTGTGTGTGGTGTGTGTGTGTGTGTGTGTGTGTGTGTGTGGTGTGTGCGTGCGTGCGTGCGTGCGTGCGTGCGTGCGTGCGTGCGTGCGTGCGTGCGTGCGTGCGTGCGTGTCTGTGTGTGCGCGCGTGTGATGTGGTGTGACGCGGTGTAGCGTGGTGGTGGTGGGTGGGGTAGTGCGGTGGTGGTGGCGGTGCGCGGTGGTGGTGCGCGTGCGTGCGTGCGTGCGTTGGTGGGTGGCAGTGGCGGTGGGTGTGCGTGCGGCGGGGCGGGGCTTGGTGCGGCGCGGTGGTGGCGGGCGGATGGGCGCGCGAGAAAGAGGCCCGCGCTGGGGCGAGAACGCCATCCTGAACGACGGAGGCAAAACACCGATCCGAAAATGAGGCCCACGCTGCAGCGGGAGCACGATTCTGAACGATTCGGGAGCAGAAATGATGCCGGCGCCTCAGCGAGAGCAGCATTTTAAAACAAAACGCAGGCGAAAACCCAACTCCCGGGAATCCTGTGTGTAAAAAAACAGTACGCGGGGGGGGGGTCGAGTATCCCCAGGACGCCATCATGGGAAGAGGGAGAAGAGTATTCATATTAAGTAATGTGGAGGAAGGACAGAGGGGGGGGGGAGGACGGGGAGGAGGAGGAGGATGAGGAGGAGGAGGAGGAGGCGAAGGCGGAGGCGGAGGAGGAGGAGGAGGAGGAGGAGGAGGGAGGAGTCGGGAGGAGGAGGAGGAGGAGGAGGAGGAGGAGGAGGGAGGAGGGAGGAGGAGGAGGAGGACGAGGAGGAGAGGAGCAGGAGGAGGAGGAGGAGAAGGAAAGGAGGAGGAGGAGGAGGAGGAGGAGGAGGAGGGGGACGACGAGGAGGAAGAAGAGGCGGAGGCGGAGGAGAGGAGGAGGAGGAGGAGGAGGAGGAGGAGGAGGAGGAGGAGGAGGAGAGGAGGACGAGGAGCAGGAGGAGGAGGAGGAGGAGGAGGAGGAAAAGGAGGAGGAGGCGGAGGAGGAGGAGGAGGGGGACGACGAGGAGGAAGAAGAGGAGGAGGAGGAGAAGGAGGAGGATGGGGGAGTAGGAGGAGGAGAAGGAGGAGGCGGAGGCGGAGGCGGAGGCGGAGGCGGAGGCGGAGGAGGAGGAGGCGGAGGAAGAGGAGGGGGAGGAGCAGGAGGAGGAAGAAGAGTCGGAATACTTATAATAATAAGCATAAGAATAATACAATGACGAACAGCAGTAGTACTAATAATAAGTAGAAGACGAATGATGATACTAACAAGGCTAATGACAATATCACTAATAAGACGCGTCATACTACTCATGTTATTAATACTAAACATACTACTAATACCGTTAGTAATACTAGGAGTAACATAATGATAAGAAATTAATATTAAACATACTACTAATACCGTTAGTAATAATAGTAGTAACATAATGATAATAAAAAGACGAATGCGAATACTAATAAGAAGACTAGCAATAATACAACTACTACGAATGATAATAACAACAAGAAGAATAATAAGACGAACACTACGCCTATTAATACTACTGGTGCTCAGACTAGTGGTAATAAAAAACCATTAACATAATAAACATAACAATGATATATTAACCATAACAATAATAATAGCAAGACTAATACTAATAATGTTCATACGAATAATGAGAACACGGATAATCGCACTACTAGTTATACTGATATCGCTACTGAGAATAATAATCTTCATACTGATAATACTGAGAAGACTGGTGATACGAAAAAGAATAATACGAATGCTTGAAGTACGAAGACTAATAATAAGAATACTACTTCAATGCTAATTTAAAATTAATAATACGCATACTATTCACAATAATGATGATAATTATAATGATCATACTCGTAATACTAGTAATACTAGTGATAACAATAAGACTACTAATAATAATAGGAGGAACAAAGCTATACAGAATAATCATATTATTAATATTATTCATGGTAGTAGTACTTGTAATATTCAGAAGAAGAAGAAGAGCAAGAAGAGGAGGAGGCGGATGCGGATGCGGATGCGGATGCGGAGGCGGAGGCGGAGGCGGAGGCGGAGGCGGAGGAGGAGGAGGAGGAGGAATTGGAGTTGGAGGAGGAGGAGGAGGAGGAGGAAGAGGAGGAGGAGGAGGAGGAAACGTATAATCAACAACAAAATGAGGAGGAGGAATAGGAGGAAGAGGAGGACGAGGAGGAGGAGGAGGAAGGAGAAGCAACAGCAAAATGAGGAGGAGGAGGAGGAGGAAGAGGAAGAGGAGGAGGACGAGGAGGAATGGCGGGGAGGAGCAGCAAAGCGGAGGAAGGAGCCAGCAAATTTTGGAATTGACGGGGCCAACGCAGCGGTATCGACGACGTTTCGGTGGGGAGGCCCGCCCGCCGGAAGGCCTCGCCGGCCGAGCCCGCGGGGGCCTGCACGCCTCGAGGCGGGGATGCCCGCTGCGCTGCTCTGCCCCTGGGGGGTCGCCGTCGCCGTCGCCGTCGCCGTCCCTCGCCGTCGCCGATGCCGTCGCCGTCGTCGTCGTCGTCGTCGTCGTCGTCGTCGTCGTCGCCGACGCCGCCGCCGCGGCCGTCGTCGTCGTCGCCGCCGCCGCATAGTCGCCGTCGTCGTCGTCGTCGTCGTCGTCGTCGTCGTCGTCGTCGTCGTCATCCCCCTTCCCCAGGCTTCTTCTCGGGGCCCCCAGATGGTGTGATGACCCCACCCTGTGGTGGGTCCATGGGGATTTAGGGCTACCGCACGGTATTGGGACTTGGGTCGTTTTCTGAGAACGTCTCGGGCGACTTGGATTTGCGAGGTTCCAAGACCGTGCGGTGACGGAGCGCTCGGTGAGGTCTCTTGGAATTTCGAGGTCACGTCACCACGCGGTCCGTCGCCATACGGTTTTGAGACCCTTCTTGGGGGGGGAGGGATGTTCGATCAGACGATGCATTGCGCGAAAATTCTCGATCACCTGGGCTCGTTGACCTCTGTCAGATCTTGGTCCTTGTCGAGTTGTTTTTAAGTCGGTCGGGCCCGTACGTAACGGGGCCTGGCATTCGGAAATCAATGTTCCCGCCGTGTGGGAATTTGTCGCGCGGGAAGGAATGCGGGAGGTAGGGTTGAGGAGGGTGAGGAGGACAAGGTGCAAGACGAAATGATACCAGGCGAGACACTTTGCTTAGCGATTAAACCAGTGCTGGCCTCGCAAGAAACCACCGTATTCATAACTTTGGGTCGTTATATCTATACATACGCATATATATGTATGTATGTATGTATGTATGTACGTATGTATGGATGTATGTCTGTCTGTCTGTCTGTCTGTCTGTCTGTCTGTCTGACTGACTGTATGTATGTATACACACATACATACATACATACGTACGTACGTACGTGCATGCATACATACATACATACTTACACACATACATACATACGCATGCACATACATACGTACATACACACATACATACCTACACACATACGTACACTCACACACACATACATACATACATACATACGTGCATACGTACATACGTACATGCATACATGCACACGAACATACATACACACCTGCACGCATACGCACTTAAATGCCTGCACGCATTCATACACACATATATATATACACACATACATACACGTAGGGGCTTCGCCCCCTAACGCCGGCCCCCTCTCTATCATGATGGGATGTCTCAGAGTCGCGTCGGTGCGTTTCGGCGCTGCCTTGGCGCATCTGGGAACATCATGCGGGGGCGGTTCGGAACTGTCAGCGCATATTGAGACGTTTGCGAAGACGCCTACGGCGAGTCACCGCCGCCCCCTGCCTTTGTGGAAGCGCCTATGTGGCCGAACGTTGAGGCCAGACCTGCCAAGCTATCGGATCATGTGTTTCCCGAATCGGTTTGGAAAGCCTTCGGGGAACACGTGGGTATCTTGAAGGTCATCTTAGCCACCTGGAGGCCATTTTGACTCTTTCGGGCCTTCTTGGAGGACGTCTTGGAGGGCTCGTGGACCGTCTTGGAGGCCATCTTGAGCATCTTGGAGGCCTCTTGGGCCGTCTCGGGGGCCTCCTGGGGCCGTCTTGGGCCCCTCTTGGGCCGTTCTGGGGCCATCTTGGAGGCCTCTTGGGTGATCCTTGGGCGATCTTTGGGAGCTCTTGGGCCGTATCGGTCGGAAGGCCGAAACGAAGCAAATGTCAAGTCCTTCAAACACCATAGGAACATTTGTCTTTTTGGCCTTTCCTGGCCTTCCTTTCTAAGCCGACTTGGGGCCCTCTTGGGGTGCTCCAGGGTCGTCTTAGAGGCCATCTCGGGCGTCTTCGAGGCCTCTTGGGCCGTCTTGGCGCCCTCTTGGGGCCGTCTTGGGGGCCTCTTGGGCCGTCATGGGGCCATCTTGGAGGCCTCTTGGGCGATCTTGGGGCGACCTTTGCGGCCTCTGGGGCCGTCACGGACCGTCGGAAAGCCGAAAAGGCGCAAATGCCAACATCCTTCAAAAACCTGAGGAAACTCAAGGATTTTGGCCTCGTCGGGCCTTCCTGGAGGAACTCTTGGAGGCCTCTTGGGCCGTCTTGGAGGCCTCTTGCGGGCCTCTTGGGCCGTCTCAGACCATATTGGGGCCATCTTGGGCCGTCTTGGATGCATTTTGGGGCCATCTTGGCCGTCTTGGAGGTCATCTTGGCTGTCTTGGAGACATCTTGCAGGCCATTTGGGCTATCTTCGCGATGTTTAGAGGATGTCCCGAGCGAAACGGCCGTTTTTGGCGTTTGCAACCGGGCCTTCCGGGTGGCCCGCGGGACGGGCCCGAGCCCCAGGGGGAGTTCTTTTGGAAAAAAGAACCAAAACCAAAACCGATAGGATTTAACACGCCAGGTACCCCTTTGATAAATCAAAAGGGGGCGGCGGACGGCGGATCGAAGACGCCTACGGCGAGTCACCGCCGCCCCCTGCCTTTGTGGAAGCGCCTATGTGGCCGAACGTTGAGGCCAGACCTGCCAAGCTATCGGATCATGTGTTTCCCGAATCGGTTTGGAAAGCCTTCGGGGAACATGTGGGCATCTTGAAGGTCATCTTAGCCGCATGGAGGCCGTTTTGACTCTTTCGAGCCTTCCTGGAGGACGTCTTGGAGGGCTCGTGGGCCGTCTTGGAGGCCATCTTGAGCGTTTGGGAGGCCTCTTGGGCCGTCTTGGGGGCCTCTTGGGGGCCTCTTGGGCGAACTTTTGGAGGCACTTGGGCCGTCTCGGGCCGTCGGAAGGCAGAAAAATAGCAAATGCCACAATCCTTCGAAAACTTTAGGGAAATCATTGATTTGGGCCTTTTCGGGGTTTTCCTGGAGGCCCTCTTGGAGGCCTCTTGGGCCATCTTAAGGCCATCTTCGGCCGTCTTGGTGGGCTCCTGGCCCGTCTGACGCCGTCGGACGCCGTTTGAGGGGTCTCTGTGGGCCGACTTGAGGCCCACTTGGAATGCTCCAAGGCCGTCTTGGAGGCCATCTTGGGCGTCTTAAAGGCCTCCTGGGCCGTCTTGGGGGCCTCGTGGGTCGTTCTGGGGCTATTTTGGAGGCCTCTTGGGCGATCTTTGGGCGCTCTGTAGGGGCTCTTGGGCCGTCTCGGGCCGTCGGAAGGCCGAAAAGAAGCAAATGTCAAAATCTTTCAACAACCAAAAGAAAATACGTGTCTTGGGCCTTTTCTGACCTTCCTGGAGGCCTCTTGGAGGCCTCTTGGGCCGTCTTGGGCCAGCTGCGAGCCACCTTCGGCCATCTTGGTGGGCTCCTGGCCCGTCTGACGCCGTCTGAAGCCGTCTTGGGGGCCTCTCTGGGCCGACTTGGGGCCCTCTTGGGGCGCTCCAGGGCCGTCTTGGAGGCAATCTTGAGCGTCTTGGAGGCCTCTTGGGGTCGTCTTTGTGCCCTCTTGCGGCCGTCTTGCGGGTCTCTTGGGCCGTCATGGGGCCATCTAGGAGGCCTCTTGGGCGCTGTGGGGGCGATCTTGGGGGCCTCTTGGGCCGTGTTGGGTCGTCGGAAAGGCGAAAAGGAGCAAATACCAAAATGCTTCAAACACCAATGGCAAATCAATGATTTTGGCCTCTTCGGGCCTTCCTGGAGGACCTCTTGGAGGCCTCTTGGGCCGTCTTGGAGGCCTCTTGGGAGCCCCTTGGGCCGTTTTAGGCCATCTTGAGGCCATCTTGGGCCGTCTTGGGTGCATATTGGGTCGTCTTGGAGGCATCTTGCGGCCATCTTAGCTGTCTTGGAGGCCATCTTGGCCGTCTTGGAGGCGTAGTGGAGGCCATCTTGGGCCATCTTGGAGCCGTCTGGAACGGAACAACCCTTTGCAACCACATCTGGAAGATCTTTCGGCATCCTTCCGGGTGGCAGGCGGGACGAGCCGAAGCCCCAGGGTGAGTTCTTTTGGACAAAAAGAACCAACACCAAAACCGAGAGGGTTTAGCACGCCAGACACCCCTGCGATGAATCGACAGGGGGCGGCGGATCGTAGTGGCCTTCGGACCATCCCGCCACCGTGCCTGGGTTGTGTTGGGGTGGGGTGTCATGGGGAGCCTCTCGGGGCTTCTTAGAGGCGGTTTGGGGGCCTCGTGGGGGCCTCTTGGGGCCTCGTGGGCTATCTTTTGGGCCCCTTGCAGGCTTCTTGGACGCCTCTTGGGGCCTCTTGGGGCCTGTTGGCGGCCTCTTGGTGCCTCCTGGGGGCTTCTCGGGGCACAGACATCGAATGTTCGGCTCGTGGTCACCTGGTTGGGCCCCTCTTGGGGGCGTCGTGGGGCCATCTTGAGTCGTCTTGAGCGCTTCTTGGGCCATCTTGGAGCCCACTTGGGCTGGGCCGTCTTGGAGCCCTCTTGGAGGCGCCTTGGGCTGTTTTGGAGCGGTCTTGGAGCGCTCTTGGGGCTTATTTGGCCCCTCTTATGCCGTCTTGGAACCATCTTCGGGCGCCTTGGAGTACTTTTGGCCTCGGCAGTGCGAATACGGTGTGAGTTGCAAAGGTTTATGGCTTCGAGGACACGAATATTGCGTAATTCACAAAGGTGTGTTGTCTCGGGGACGCGAACATTGGGTATATTGGAAGGGTTTGTTGCCTCGGGGACGCAAACATTGTGTAATTTACGAGGGTCTGTGGCCTCGGGGACGCGAATCTCGTGTAGCAGGCCTCTTCAAGGCCTCTTGGGGCGCCTTGGGGGCCTCTTGGGCCGTCTTGGGGCTGTCTTGCGCGTCTTGTGTCGATCTTTTGGCGGCTCGGGGCCCTCTTGGCAAGTCTTGGGCCTCTCTTGGCCCGTCTTGGGTCCGATCCAGTCATGCGACTAGTTGCAAAGGAGCCCAGGGGTCACGCGGGATGCGCCAGGAGACGAGTTCTGAGTCTCAGGGGATTGGGCAAAGGACCTGAGGACACGACAATTCCATGCCCAGAGGCACGGTGATGAATTTGAAGAGGAGGTCGAGGACGATGACGAGGAGTGTTTCTCAGGCCCCTGTGAGCAACAACCCAGTTCGAAACTCGAAGTCCGCCTAGGGAGGCGGGGGCCGGGAAGCGGGAGCCGCACTGGTCCCACTGTCTCCACCTTGCATAACCATCCCGTGCCGTTCCATTTCGCTAGCATCCATCGACCAAGTTCTAGTCCGTAGTGGCACAGGCGCTGAATCGCACAACGACGGGCTCACTGCGGTCGGACAAAAACACACCCCTACCCGCCTGTCTCTGAAGAGCACCTCAGGGACGCTCTGGAACCTTCAGAGAAGCCATGGCCCCACCCCAAAGACGAATCCCACAGACCCCCCGCCCCACTCCAAGAACCTCCAACCGTCTTCTCGCGTCCTCAGCGTGGCCGCTTTCGACCACGTCCGATGAGTTTGTCGAAGGCCGTCTGCTGCATGCCATGCCCTTAGGGGCAGGAGCGGGCTCCCCAGCGGGGCACGCGCGACTCTGGCGCTCGTCGTCTTTCGTCATCGTTCGTCGTTGTTGTTCGTCGTCGTCGTCGTCGTCGTCGTCGTCGTCGTCGTCGTCGCCCCTCTCCGTGCGCCCCCCCTCCCATCGCACCCCGTCGTCGAAGAAGAGAGAAAGGCATAAACATACTCTTGCGACGGTCCGCGCAGATTTCGTAGATCTGCGCTGGGACCTCTTGGCGGCGCCTCCAGCGCCGCCCTGGCGCGATCCGCGCGCCAAGGTGGGGGCGTCCAGCGCAGATCCAAGAAGTCCGCACGGGCCGTCGAAATATTTAGTTTATTCAAGTTTTTTCTCCTTCTACGTCAAGCAGGACAGAGTCCTTCCTGCGAAGACGAAGAAGGCCCTGGCATTGTCCCGTGAAAGAGCAAGTTGTCTGCGCAGATCCCTCCAGAGCCGCTCTTGAGCCAGCCGCTGCGCCCGATACATCCTCCCGGCCTGCCAGCCCGTTGTTCACCTCAGGGCGCCAGCGACGGAGGCACAGCAAACGAGGGCACGGGGAACGCCTAGTTCCACGTTTGGCCATGCTCCCGTTTAGGGGGCCCTGGGCGCTGTAGACGGGGGCACAGTAAACGGGGGCACATGGAAAAGCCCAAGCCCCCGTTTAGCTAAATCCCCGTTGACGAAGCCCCCCGATCCTCCCCGTCCGGTTGTCCTCCTCGTTTTTGCTTCGGTCTGTCTCCTCGGTGGGTCTCTCCAGTGGGAAGCCCAGGCCTGCTGAGCTCCCTGCCGGCCCCGTTCGACGTCGAGTACGACGAGTTCGGCGAGCCAGTCTCCGGCGGGGGCCGCGGGGAAGCCAAAGGGGGCGCGGTTTGCCAAGGTCTCCCCACGAGGAGGATTTCTAAGGTTGCATAGTTGGAAAGACCTCGTCTGTCCCTCAAATCGGTGACTTTTCCTTCGGGGAGCGACGAACAACATAAACATACAAACTCGGAGATTCGCGCGGCGCCTCCGGCGCCTCCGGCGCCACCCCTGGCGCGCTCCGCTCGCCAGGGAGGCAGGTCCACCGTCGATCCGAGAAATCCGCGCGGACCTCTGAGTTTCTATGTTTATGTCATTCTTTGTTCCCCTATTCCTGCAATCAACGCGGGCTCCATGCGGACTTGACACGGTTGTTGTGTGGATTCGGCGCAGATCCGGCGGGGATTCGATGAGTCTGACCGACATGGATTCGACGCGGAGAGGGGCCCGACGGGACAGTCGATATGCACCGAAAATGCTACGTATGATTTTCCAGTAGAAGGCCTACTCACGACAGGGGTGAACTGTTCGATGGCCAATCCAGTCCCGTCTCTCCCGTCGCCACGCCGCGCTTGCCACGGCCCAATGAGGTCGCCATGAAGGAATATTGTTTTCTTCCTCCTCTACCTTTTCCTCCTCCAAGCTGCCATTTTGCCCCCCAAGCGATTCAGGCAGCTTTTTACAGACCCTCACAACCCCAGAGCACAGAGGTGAAATGAGATCGCGATGAGGGTGCTGGCTTGCATTGCGATGCCATAGACGACGTGTTCAGCCCTACTGCAATGTAATCCTCTGAGCGGCCGCCAGGATCGCCTGAGGTAGATCATCTGAGAGATTTTCGAAATTCTCTCCGATAGCATTGTTCGGGACACAGAGGAAGAGGAAGGGAGTAGAAGCAGTCAATGGACATGAATAATATGCTGAATGCGTTGATGCGGGATTGGGAACACACAGTTCTCGAACACGTCTGCGGGGGTCCTGATTGCCTGGAGAGGCTTCATGGGAAAAGCGTTGCTGGTAGACGTGCGAGAACCTCCTGGAGATCTGATTGGAAGGGGCCTAGCAATCACGCTGACGCTTAACCAGTTCTCCATACAGGCTATCGCCGTGTACTACCCGCCGCAACCGAAAACCAGTTCAGCGGGAAGAGAGTATCTTTCTGTGGTTGAAGAACGAACTTCCTGGACGCAGTCGTTGCTGGAAAAATTAAGCAAATACGCTGGCGTTTGTAGCAGGGGGCGTGAACGATTGCATGGGGGCGAGCACCAGAGGGAAGCGTCTGGTTAGTCTAGCTACGGGCTCTGGGGTCTCGCCAGAATGATAACCGGGGGAACAGGGCAAAGCCTTCGGAGGATGGCAGAGACAACAAACATGTCGATCAGCAACACGCTAGGGAATAGTAGACAGACGTTCTTCGGAGACAAGAGCGCGCCGTGCATAGACTACATCCAGGCACCCTGGGAACTTTGCTCGAGTATCCAGACTTACGGCCCGCTGACGAGAATGGGAGAATGGGAAGTAAGATACACCAGATACCCAGCAGAACCCACAACAATCACGTGCTTGTACATGCAGCATTCCTCCTCCGTACATTTTCTGGCTTGCAGAAGAAGAAACACCAACCAGTGCGTCGGGGCCGAGACGCTCAAGGGAAAGTAGTGACCCACACCGTTGAAAGAAAAGAGTTTGTGGAGGCACTGCGCCAAGCGGTGTCGGACGCGACGGAATGGCACACACAACCAGATGTCGACACATACTTCCAGAAATTGAAAACCATCATGCTAGAGGTCGCCAGGAAACAGCTCGAGGACAGAGGAGTCATATATCATATGTGTGCGAACTTGAGAGATGGAGGACTGGAGCTACTTCGACGGCGTCGGGACCTTGGAGAACAATTACATGCAGCATCGTGCACAGGATAATGAGACCGCAGTTCGTTTTCATCCAGAGCACGTGGCAAGGAACACACACATACGACAGAGAAGCAGGAGCAGCAACACATGTTCCGGACCGCGTCGCCCAGATAGAAACAGAACTCTGAGATCTTTCGAGGAGATGTGCAATGCACAGACGTGCGCTGGGTAGCGCCGTAACGGGGCATCGCATCGACGAGTTGTGGGGGGCGTGGTAGAGCAGGGGCCTTGCAACGGAGGGGCGATTATCCAGAATGATCGCCGGAGGAAGACATGGACTGCGCAAGAGACACTACTGGACAGTGACGAAACCACAGCCACCAGCGACAGAGTGGATTGATTTCTGGCGCACGCCTGGTGGTGGAGGGGGATGCTGGGGGAAGGTGTGGACCTTAATGATATCACCCAATTCGAGTGCTACAGCGAACCCAGAGCCGACAGGGATATCGAAGACAACGACGAGAAGGAGCAGGAGCACCTGGCCAGGAGATCCAGACAGCTATGCTGAGGAGAGCGGTTCCATCTACATGGGTCCCTTGTGAAGCATGGCGACCGATGCTGGCGCTGTCGGCACAAAAGGAAGCACCGCGTGGGCTGGGATACAGTGCAGAGATCGGGGATCCAGAGTGTTTCCAGACGGTGTTGCTTCGTGCGATTACTAGAGTCAAAGTGGAGGACCCCGCGCCAGTGCATTGGCATTGCGGCGCGGCGACAGCGCGAACGCACAAAACTCAAGACCTGGGCCTGTAGGCAAAAAAGGCAGATCGAAAACTAGACCCGCTTGGGGAAGCTTTTCACGCAGCTGGATCGGTAAGAGCGTGGGCGGGAAAAATCAGGATTGTGGATTTATCAGAAGCAGACGACCAGGAGGAGCTGTGCTGACGGCGGCGGTGGTCCAGTACAGAGTACGCGGCAGGGGGTGCAGTTTTCTGACAAGGGTGAGAGATGCGAGCGTTGCATTCGCCAATTGTTCTTGGATGAGAACGGATGCAACAGCTTCTGAGATCCTGCCCCAGGCCACGTGGAACCTTGGAGAGCAACGATGCAACAGAGCTAGTTTTCAGATGCCTTGCCAAGGCTCAACAGACGGATTTACTGTTCGCTTGCCGCGATCGCTTGCCGGTCTGCGTCGAAGTCACAGAGCGCGGTTCGGGCCACGCGAGCCTGACCCGCGGCGTCTCGCTCAGGAGGCGCGGCCAGCGGATGACCTGCTAGACCAGAGGCTGCGCCATATCGGCCTCCAACAAACCCGCGGGGAACAGGGGGGCATCGTTCTCTTGCGCGGAGCAGGGGCACCAAGAGCATGCGGAGATCTTGAACAGTTGGGTGTCCCTTGGGACCCCCCACCGTCAGCGAGATGCTTCTGCGATTCGAAGCACAGCTATCCGAACGGGCCGAGCAAGCGCGTGGCAGCCATGCGCAAATCGGACAAACAAGTGGGGACTTTCTGGCACAGAGCAGGGGCCCCCTATGCGTGGACGCGTGCCTTGCTGATATGTCGGGCAATGAACGCGGGCCTCATCTGCATCGAGCGCCACTTCCCCACTCAGGCAAAGCGCGAGAGGTTGCGCCGGGCGATGAGGCGTCCACTCGGGAGGGCAATGAGAGGAGGGCGCCGCGAAGGTTTCAGACACAGGTGGATGCACGGGAATGAATGCGGCGCGGGTGGTCAAGTATTGGAGAGTATCTCACCCCGAACATGAAGCTGAAGTGCGTAGGTTGAGCCGTGCAAAACCTATCCTCAGCGGGCCGCAAGGCAACGAACAGTAAGCTGTGGCCCTGTTCGGGGCCCTGGACTTCGAGGCGGACGTCGTCGCTGTCGCGGGCCTCGGCCTCCCGCATGAGCAACGCGCGGGGTTTTAGGGGCGCACCTGGGTGCGCAATGCGCTCCCAGCTGATTCTCCAAGGCCAAGAGATCACTCCCGAGCTGCTGTTTTCGAGCGGGTCAGGCAACCAAGCGGCGCAAATTGTTCGATTTGACGTGCAAGAGTTCCGTCGAGCGAGAGCGAGATGCCAGATACCACCGACGAGGAGGAAGGAGAACAAGGAGGACGAGGAGCTGGAGGAGGAGACCTTGGAGGGAATAAAAAGGTGTAGGTGCGAGATACAGAAGGAGGGTCGGATCAGCGACGCGAGTTTCACGAGCTGGAATATTCGCAGAAGTCATCCCATCAAGCACCACAACATACATATCATCGTGGCGATCTTGACGACGAACAATCACTTCGCTCATTGCAGACATATTCGAACTCGCAGTTTTATGGCATGGGTACACTTGTCGAGATCACTCACGCGAGTTTTCTGTATGAAGGATCATATTCGTAAGCAGTTCGGACCGACGCTGTTCTCGGCGACGTGCCCGATCTGCGACCGTGTCGAGAAGGGCGGGGATTTGTTTTGGCGCGCGCCCAATGGCGCATCTTTCCCGCCCGCTCCAGAGATATGAGGGCGTTCGTGGGCGCGCCGAGATGGGCGGGGCCCAAGAGGAGCGGCGACGCACCAGGCGACAAGAAGAGGAAGAGGGGCAGACAGGGCGACGACAGCCAGGACCGTTTGCTGAACTTGGCGGCCAGGCTGCTGTTCATATTGGCAAGAGAATCCGCCGAGCTGTCCCTTGCCGTCTTCGACGCGTGGGAGGTGGACTCGGAGGCATCTCTAGCTTGTGCGGGCCTTCAGGTGGGAGCGGGCTATAACGCAGAGGCCCAGGCCCTGAAGGCGAAAACGGGGAACGACGAGGATGTGGACACGGGCTCGCCGGGGTCGCCTCATCCAGTGGCGCGGCAAAAGGTGGCGCAGAAGTTTGGGCAAGATACCACGGGCGAACCCCAACTGACACGCCAAACGTAGTACAGAAAGGTCGCGCTGTTGCCAGGTGTGCACGCCCTGGGCGCGTCCGTCACAATCTTCACGGCGAAGCGCAACAAAAGCAAGGCCGCAGGGGAAGCACGCGTGCAGGATGCAGTTTCGTCTTCTTCCAGTGTGCGTGACAATCAGGAACATCCTCGCAGCCGCCCCCATGTCCCAGGGGGCGAAACGCAAGTGCGGAACGGTGCCGAGGGGGGGGCCTTGAAGAGAGACATCAGTCAGCTTCTGAAGTGAAGTGGGGCGCGGGGCTTGTAGGCAGCAGCACAGCTTTGCAGACAGTGCCCGTTTTAGAGAACTCGCTCGTGCAGGTAGACCCCCTCACTCCCAGACCTTTTGAGATGCTGTTCCCAGCCGTTTCCTAATTCACCGGCTCCCGGAACCGAGACCCTCAGGGAACGGGGGTGGGAGGCTTAGCGGGGGGAAGGGCAAGGGCCGTGGGGCAAGAAGAGGTGGCAGACAGTTTATTTTGTGAGCAAGTGCTACTCCGAAGAGCGTCCTCTGCGTGGGGGCGTGGTTCGGTTGGGCCAGATCGCCATTTGGCGACAGGAGGCCCTCGAAGCGAAGTGACATATTACCGTGTAACATTGGCTAGATCCCGAAAGGGGCTCTGTAGCGAGGCGCTGGGCCCGTGTAGTCGACTCAGCGGGGATCCGAGGCTGATTCGGGTTCAGGTTCCTCGTCCTCCTCCTCCTCCTCGTCCTCCTCGTCCTCCTCCTCCTCCTCCTCCTCCTCCTCCTCCTCCTCCGATTGCCATGTTAAGCAGGCGCATGGGCTGTGAACGCTCGAACTCCGACTCATCTCGCCTAAGCGCCACGGGGTATGGATTTCTGTGCTTGTGCTATCGTGCTCGTTCCCCGGCTCTCGGGACGTTTCCTGATCCCTTGGGCGATTGTGATATGAGGTGGTGCCGGGGAAGGGAATCGGTTTCCACTGGGGCGCCGTTGCTTGTCCCCTGAGATCCTGGCGTCTCATTTTTTCGAGCCGGGTGTCGGGCCCGGGACCTTCACATATCGATCCAGCTCGAAAAATGACGCGGTGAGATCGGATCTGAGGCTCCGGGCGCGATTTTGTACGATAGGGCCCGCGCGGTGACGAGCCCTCCTCCTCTCCCTCGGCCCTTGGCCTCGTTCGGACGTGTGCATTTTTTCTCGGTGGGGGTCATGAGAAGCATCCTGGATCATCCTGCGAAAGAACGCACGAAACCAAAAAAGGCACGGGAAATGGACGTTCGAGCGATGGCATTTGGTCCCCTCGCCACCAGAGGTATGCCGCCAGCAAGGTGCGCCTGTTCCACATGAAGCGGTGCGCGGACACCAAGTCCGCCATTTTCCCAGTGCTGGGTGCCTTGGATCATTGGTGCTGTTCGGCTCCCTCTCCCTGTGCCTTCGCAGCCCGACCAGATCGTGTTAGCCTGGACCCTGGAGGAGGAACCGCTGCATAGTTCTTCATATGCTTTCAGAGATCTGCGCGCGCTTTGCTAATCGCAGTTCTGGCGCCGCTGAACGCCTCGCTAGCGGCAGTTCTGGCGCCGCCCCTAGGCGCTCAGCGCTCCAGGAATTGGGGCCAGCGCCGATTCAAGAAATCTGTGCGGACCTTCGAAGGTTAGACTCTCTTCAAGACTTGTCCCTCCCCCTTCGCCCTCGCAGGCCGAAGACACAGGATTATCCTCGATTGTCCAGGCCTGCTCTGCAGGGCCAGGCGTGCTCGTGGCATTGGGAGTTTTTTGTTTCACCGCATGACTTCCACATACCATCACTGCGGAGCTAGCACCCGCGGGAGTAGCACCTGCGTAGTGGAGAAGTAGGAGGAGGAAGTGGAGGAGGAGGAAGAGGAGGAGGAGGAGGCGGAGGAAGAGGAGGAGGAGGAGGAGGAGGAGGAGGAGGAGGGAGACTTAGAGTTGGGGCCGGGCAGGCGGCGTTGGCGACGGCGCGGCCGAGGCGCGCCGCGCGCGCGCGGGGGGGCGGCTGGATGGCCCTCGGACAGTGGAGGCTCAGAGATGATAAGGGCGATAAGTTGTGTGGAGTAGGGCAGGGTAGAGAGTAGAAGCCGAGTACGGAGAGTATGGTCTAGCGTGAGGTAGCAGTGTAGAGAGCATATTCTTCTCCCGTGCCGAGTAGGCTCGAGTTGAGCCGAGCAAGCATGTACTAGAGCAGATCGTTCAGTTTTCAACTCGGAGCATGCAGCACTGATTACACATGTGTATATATATATATGTCGCATATCTGGTATTTCCATACAAGTCGCATCTCCATCAGTGCACATAATCATATTGCATACCGTATTGCGTACTACGTCGACCAGATAATCGAGTGGAGTACTGCAATAAAGAGATAGCCGATCGTTATATTGCGAGGGTTGAGTAGCGAGTAGGCTGATTAGATGTGCGTAGGATATGAGCAGCGTTGGCGGAGGGTGTTGATTGGCCACCGAAGACCACGAGGGATCCCGCGCGTTGGGTCAGCAAGGGTATCGACATAGAGTTAGAGCACGTGTGTACCGAGAATATCGCCCAGAGCGCTTTGTGGTAATTGCTGACATGGCCATCCTGGCTTGCAGCAGTATCGTGTTGCTCTGGGTTGTCGGGGCGAGGGCGACAAGCCCCGCCAGGGAACGAGCAATCACTGAGCTAGGACAACTGTGGCGCGACTGCGTTCTGCCTTCGCGAACGCAGCCTTCATTTCATGCGACAGCTCGAGCACCGCATTCACCGCCGAACATGCCACCTGCAGGATTCCAGGGACCACGCGATGTTTGACCCTCGGCCCATGGGTAAGTCAAGTACTCGCCAGGCGCCGGGGACATATATTGAAACCGATGCATCGATCCCGCTACGTTTGCAGATCTTTCCATGTCGAAGGCACCACAATACACCGTAAACTCACGAGAGCTGATGGAAACAAGGTCCGCGAAGGGGGATTAGCCCCGAGAAGGATTTAGCGGGGTGGGGCCTGGTCAGCGCCGAGGAAGTGCCAGGGCTGATGTTGGATATGTTGGGGGCGTCCAAGGGTGGGGGAGTGATGATCAGGGGAGGCTAGATTTCACGGGCCCCCCCTCTGATTCCCGTGCGTTCCTTGGCCCCCCCTGGGCCCCCCTCTTGGACGCCCCCCCTTTGAACCGGCGGCGCGGCCGGCGGGGAAGTGAGAGGGTGCAGGCCTTCTGTCAGAAGGCGGCGGGGCTTCTCAGAAGCAGCCCTCCGTCCTTCGGAGATGCCGCCTCGGCCTTCGAAGCCGCCGCAGAGCACTTCTCGGAAGCCCCGACAGCCTCTTGAGCGTCCTCAGAAGGCTCGCGTATCTCTGCGTTTCCCCTTGGGCCCGCCGCCGACCCCCGCTTGGGTGCCCCCCGCTCTTGGCGTCGCTCGGACGTGTGCATCTGTTCTCAGCGAGTACCATCGCGGAGTATCCTGGATCAACGTTCGAAAGTCGCACGAAGCCGACAAAAGTCGCGGGGAGTGGGCGTCCGAGCGATGGCAGGCGCTTGGACGCCCTGGTCCGAACTCCGGCTTCATCCGGTTTGCTCCCGCTTGATCCCGCTCAATCCCGTTCCGTCTGGTCATCCCGCCTGGCCCGAGGCCAAATCCGGCGCAGCAGCCCCCCAAAGGGGCTCAGCCGTGCCCTCAGGCATTCCGACGAAGCCCTCCCAGCAGTTGCCTCCCATCCCCTCTCGGGCGCCCCCCGCTCGGACGCCCCCGCATGCTGCCCTCGGCCCGGCCCTGCCCCCCGCAGGGGGCCGCCTCGGCAGCGGAGGGCTCCCCTCGCGCGCCGAATGGGCCCCCCCCCGCGAGGCCGAGGCCGGGGCGGCGGGGGCCGCGGGCGAGACGGGCCCGGAGGACCGCGGCGGGCCGGGGCCGAGGCCGCCGCGGCGGGCCGGGTGCGATCGCCGATCGCGCAAGGGGCTCGGAGAGAATGGGCAATCGATGTGCAGCCGAGGGCCGAGGTGGGTCTTCAGTTTCTGGTGCCCCCTCCGCCCTGCTTCTCTCGGCGGATGATGAAACGCGTCCCTCGTCTTCTTCCTGCTTCTCCTCCTCCTCCTCCTCGTCGTAGTCGTCGTCGTCGTCGTCGTCGTCGTCGATGCTGCGCGGCGGGTGCCGCGGGTGCCCAGAGAACCGCGGCGGGCCAGAGCCGAGCCTTGCAAGGTTCGCTCGGCACGATCGCGAAATTCGAATGCAACTCCTGGGGGATCAAATTCTGAATTTGTACTGGTCCGAAGTGCGGTTCAAATCGGCTTCATCCCGTTCAATCCGGCTTAGTCCAGCTGGATCCCGCCTCATCCGCGGCTTCCGGCGTTGTAGCACCCAATGGGGCTTAATCTTCTTTGATCATTCCGACGACGACGTCCCTGTAGTTGTTTCCTAAGCGACATGGGTGTAGGAATAATGCACAACCATGTATAGATACATCGAGCTTGTAGAGCATCTGAGTTTCCATTGTTCTGTCTACAAGCTATTTGGCATCGCTCGGACGTGTGAATGTTTCCGCGGCGATAACTATAGAGGAGCCTCTTGGAGAATCAGTGCCAGCATGGTAAAACTTACATCGGGCCTGTCTCTCTACAGGAGGAGTATTCAAAAACAGTCAAAGCATAGTACGGGGACATGCCCGACCTAAGGTTAGACATATCGTCGACCATTATGCAGTGAAGTTCGCAAGGATGACCATCCTTGCCATTATTTCTTCTTGTGAAGGCCTGACGGCCGGTGCCATCGACCCTGAAAGACATCGACGACGACCAGGAGGGGGAGGAGGAGGAGAAGGAGGAGGAGGAGGAGATAATTAAGGAGGAGGAGGAGGAGGACAAGGAGGAGGAAAAGGACGTAAGGATGACCATCCTTGCCATTGCTTCTTATTATTCAGCAGCGGGGAGTTTTCGGCGGGTCACTCGGCATGCCGCTCGCGCGCGGGCGTGTCAGGCTGCTGGGCCGATTTGCAGGTGAGCTCCGCTTGCGGACATCATCGCCTTCGCTTGCAGAGACCGTTTTGCTCTCGGACGGTTTGAAGAGATTCGCAGGTGACGTTCGCCTGTTGTCACAGCAGCGATTTCCGCTCGTTCGAACTCAGGAGCTGGTCGCGCGTGTCCTCCCTCCGTCCTGCTTTCCAGACTCTCCTTGTCGCGCACGGACGTGTCAGGCTGCTGGGCCGACTTGCAGGTTCGCTCCGCCTGCGGACATCATCGCCACTCAAGACAGACCTGAGGCAATTCCAGAAAAATGAGGGAGGACCCAAAGGGCCCCCGAAAGGCGCCCCAAGAGGCTTCAAAGCGGCCTCCAAGAGGCTGCACAGAGGCTTCTCCAGAGACCCGACGAAGCAGTCAAGAGGTCTCAGGCAGCCCCCGTTCAGACTACAGGATACCTCTTGCACGATTCAAATCGAAGACACAGGCATACAAACACTCTCCCCCACACACTCCTCCTTATCCTCTTTCTCCTCCTCCCCCTCCCACTCCTCCTCCGCCTCCGCCTCCTCCTCTTCTATCATTCTTACGCTTCCAACCCCTCAGCACCCTTTTCTATCTCACTTGGCATCCTCTCTCTTCACGTGCCCTCCTCCTCCATGCCCGCCTTACCATCTTGCCTCCGCTTTTTTCCCGCATCCAGCCCTAATCCAAATTCCTCGCGTGTAGCTTCCTTTGTTCCCCCCTCTCTCCCGCTTCCTCCTTCTCTTGCCTCCTGCCCTCTACCTCTTACGTTCGCCCTCCTGTCCCATCCATCCTCCTCCCCGCCTCGGTGATCCCCCATGATCCCTCCTTCCGCCGCCCTGCCCCTCCCCGTCCCTTTCCTTTTCACTTTGCATCCCCCTGTCCTTCCTCTAACCTCCTCCTCCTCCTCCTCCTCCTCCTTCTTGGCGTTGCGCTAGCCTGAATCGGATGATCGTGGCGTCTGGCGGCTCAAAAACCCTACTTAGCGTAGTGGAACTAGCACATTAACCTGGCGAGCGCAGCGAAAGTCAGGCAAACAGAGAGGTGAAGAGGAGCTCTTCAGAGTATGCTCCCTCCAGGTGGTACAAACAGCAAGCTTGGAATACCTTAGTGGGCGCCACCGGCCCACAAGTGTAACCTTGTATGACATCAAAACAAGTACCCCAGGTTTTGTTGGTCCAGGCTAACCGCGAAATTGTGCAACACAAGCGAAAGACGGAAGAGGAAAGCGTGTGACCTCATCCTCTCCCTTCTTCCTCCTCCATCTCTCTTTCACGTCCGCCTCCCTCCACCAACCCCCGTCCCCATTCCCTCCTTCGTACATAGCTCCCACGTTGTCCGGCCTTCCTCCACTCTACTCTTCCTGCCACCTCACTCTGTCTTGCCTCATGGTACCACCATCGTATACTGGAAACCAGACCCCGGGGGCCCCAGGCCGCAGCACACGGGGCACCCTAGGGTACCCTAAGTGGTCCCTCCCCTCCGGGGGCCTCCCCGGAGCTTCCGGAAGGCTCCCGCGGTGCTGTGCAAATTTTCCAGGAGGGCCCCACGACGGTCCCAGGAGGTCCCAGGTTGCCCCAGAAAGCCCCCAGCAGCACAATGAGGCCCAAAGAAGCCGTCAGAGTGCCCGCACAGGATTTCCAAGAGTGCCAAACCAGTCGAACACCCAAAGGCATCCCAACGTGCTTCCCTTTCTTTTCTGGAGTTCCCATTTGTTGCCAAAGCGTGGCTCCAAGATGGCCTCGGAGGCTCAAATGGTCCCGAACAGGGTTGCAAGATTACCCAAGGATGGCCCAGGACTGCCGCGAGTACAGAGCCTCCAGACGACTTCAGACACCAAGGCGTGCGTTTCCAAGCCAAGGACCCGATCATCCTCGATACGCTCGGCCTCATGACAAGTAGAACTTGAGCGCGCGCGATGGTTCCGGTCACAATTTATATGGGACAGAGCCTGGGGGAGTTGTCGAGAGTTCAACATCTCCGTCTCTGCCGTCGTCTCCGTCTCTGCCGTCGTCTTTTTCGTCATCGTCATCATCGTCGTCATCGTCGTCGTCGGCTTCGTCGACTTCGCCGCTGCAAGTTGGCATCGTATACCAGTGGCTTGGAAGACACCTCTCTCTCTTTCTAACTTGAACGTTGTTGCGTTTGCTCTTTGGAGATATTTCCTCGGCTCTTCTATCTGGTTGCGAAGCGTGGACTCAAATTGTGGAAAATGAGAGTAGTAGGCGCCGCATTCAAAGACACATGCTAAGACTGATTACTGTGATATCATGTCACAGAGAAGAGCCATGGGAGCAACACACAATGATGACGCACACGTAGCACCAGGGGAATAGATGTTGCAATCATTTTACCTTTGAATCCACGCCGACATACACAACTCAGCGCGAAGTATCGCCTGGGCATACCAACTATACGCTGGATATTCAACGTATTCAAAGTCAAGTCGGATCACCACAAGGCATTGAACCCTGAGGAACATCTATTGTCTGATGCATTCGAGCCGCGGGATTCTGTTCATGTGCTCCTGAGGTTCGCCGCCCGGGAGCAGTGGAGCTGTCTTGAGGACTTGTTTTATTTTTCGTTTCAAGCGGTTTCGGGGGTTTGGGGCGCTTCGGCCCCACCCCGCGGCCCCGCGGCAGCTACAGGGTCCGCACAAGGCGTGCAGCATCGCATCGCACCGCATCGTCGTCGTGATTCGTCGCCTCCTGGACGCCGTCGTTGTCGCCGCCGCCGCCTTCGTCGCCGTCGTCCTCCTCTCCGCGGGCGCACGGGGGGGAGCGCGGGACTGCAGAGGACGTCGGCGTGGAGGCCGCGGGCGACGAGGCCGCCGGCGACGAAGCCGCCGCGGACGAGGGCGCCGGGGCTGCCGAGGCCTTCTCCCGTGCCTGCACGTGCTCCTCTTCCCTCCCGCCACCCCCCGCACGCTCCTCCTCCCGCCTCCCTCTCCTCCTCGTGCCCCGCCTCGTGCCTCGTCGCGCTGCTGCTGCTGCTGGTCCTCCTCCCCTCGCCCACGGCCTCGTTGGCCTCCTCCTCTCTCCTCCTCTGCCATGTGCACGTCCCGTCGCCATCGACACGCGCCAGGTCGAGTCGATCCGATCCAGTCCTGCCTCCTGCCTCCCGCCTCCTCCTCCTCCTCCTCCTCCTCCTCCTCCTCCTCCCATGTGCTCCCCCTCCGAGCGGCGCTCCCGCCTCCCGGTCTGCTGGAGGCGGGGTGTGCTGCCAAAGTTTCAGCCGGCTTGGGCAGACAGGGACGGCGTGGCAAGGCAGACTCGAAGCTGTCGCAGTGTCCGTCTCATCGCATCGCATCGTGCCCCCGTGACCCTCTCCCTCCTCCTCGTGCTTGTGCTCCTCGCTGTGGGTGATGTAGACTTCAGGCCTGTTAGGTCCATGGGGATGTATGTACAGCACGCTGTTCCCGCTATCGTTCCTCTTAGCCGTCTCCTCACGCTCTCACTACTGGCGCCGCTGACTGGCCGGCGCCTTTCCGCGGCTTGTCTTCGATGTGGGTGTGGCGCGTGTGGCTGTGGCGTCGGAGCAGAATCCACGCGTTTCTGCTGCTCCGCCATCTCCTGTGAACGTTGCCTTGGGGGGGCCGTGTCGCCGCGGCTGGACGCTACTCGAGGATCTGGTTGGTTGGACGCTGGGAGATTTTCGGGGGCTGGCTCTGACCGGATTGCGCCTCGTCCTTTTCCTGCAAGTGCTTTTCCTCGACACCCTGCTGGCGGCCAGGTGCCGTCGGACCAGCGAAGCCCAAACCCGCGCCGTCGACTGGGCGAGCGAACTGTTTGTGCCCCGCCAAGTGACGGGAGCGAAATTTTCAGGTAACGTCGGCACGGTGCTAGGATGTGCTATGGCGAGGGGGACATGTCGCCAGCCTGCAAGCGGGCCCGCTGCCGCCGAATTGGCGAGCGCAAACTGTGCGCCGCGCCGAGATGAGATCGCCACTTTCGGGCGACATCTGCGCGGCGCCCGGGCGACAACGACATCTCGCAAGCTCGCATGCGGCCTGCTGCATAATTTAGGCGTGTTACTTATGAAAGTCATTTAAGATTGAGTGTCTCTTTGTCCCAGCTACCAACGCGCATTCGTGCTCGTCAGTGCGCGCATGATTGCCCCATCCTCGCCATCCCACGCTTCAACTACCCCCTCCTCGTCTCCATCATCGTTCGCACCCCTCCGCCCCCCATCCACCCTTCCACTGATTCCCCATGATATTATATATATATATATATATATATATATATATATACATATATGGGAGATCCCGGGCCCCGGGCCCCGGGCCGGAACCTCCCTTGTATATAGGGTGCGGCCCTCTCCCGGGGCGCCCTTCCGGCGGCCCCCGCGCGTTCCAGCCCGCCCAAGAGGGCTTCAGGAGCGCCGAGAGAACCCCAGGATCGCTTCAAGACCGCCACAGATCGCTTCCAGAAGGGTCAAGACGCGCTCAAACCGCCCCAAGAGGCCTTCAAGAGGCCCCCCACGAGCGCCCCGGGAGACCAAAATAGCCCCATTCCCCTCGTAAAACGTACATTTTTACGATATCAGCTCCCTTAGCTGTCGGAGCGGCCCGAAAGCCCCACGAGGCGCCCAAGGACGCTCCAGGACGACTGAGGACAGCCCCAAGACGGCCCAGGAGGGCCTCCCGGGACGCTCCTCCGGCGGCCCCCGGGCTGCCCAGTCCGCCCAAGAAGGCTCCAAGAGCGCCGAGAGAACCCCAGGATCGCTTCAAGACCGCCAAAGATCGCTTCCAGAAGGGCCAAGAGGCCATCAAACCGCCCCAAGAGGCCTCCAAGAGGCCCCCCAAGAGCGCCCCGGGAGACCAAAATGGCCCCATTCCCTTCGTAAAACGTACATTTTTAGGATATCAGCTCCCTTGGCTGTCGGAGCGGTCCGAAAGCCCCACGAGGCGCCCTAGGATAGCCCGAAGACAGCCCAGGAAGGCCTCCCGGGACGCTCCTCGGGCGGCCCCCGGGCCTCCCAGTCCGCCAAAGAAGGCTCCAAGAGCGCCGAGAGAAGCCCAGGATCGCTTCAAGACCGCCAAAGATCGCTTCCAGAAGGGACAAGAGGCCATCAAACCGCCCCAAGAGGCCTCCAAGAGGCCCCCCAAGAGCGCCCCGGGAAACCAAAATGGCCCCATTCCCTTCGTAAAACGTACATTTTTAGGATATCTCATCCCTTGGCTGTCCGAGTTGTCAGACAGCCCCAGGAGGCGCCCAAGGACGCCCCAGGACGCCTGAGGACAGCGCTAAGAGGGCCTAGGAGGGCTTCCTGGGACGCTCCTCGGGCGGCCCCCGGGCCTCCCAGTCCGCCCAAGACAAGAGGTTCCCAAGAGGCGCCCAAGACGGCCCGAGAGGGCGCCAAGACGGCCAAAGAGGCCCCCAAGACGGCCCGAGAGGGCCCCAAGACAACCCCAAGAAGGCCCCAGGATGCCCCAAGAGGCCCCCAAGAGGCCCCCAAGAGGCTTCCAAGAGGTGCCTAAGAGGCCCCAAAGAGGCCCCAAGAGGCAAGGCGGCAGAGAGTCGGCGAAGGCAGTTTCCATACCATGCCCGGCCCGGCGCATTGGAGGGGGATGGGGAGGACGAGGAGGGGGAGGGGAGGGACGGGGATGAGGAGGAGAAGGAGGAGAAGGAGGAGGAGGAGGAGGGGGAGGAGGAGGAGGAGGAGGGGGAGAAGGAGGAGAAGGAGGAGGAGGAGGAGGAGGAGGAGGAGGAGGAGGAGGAGGAGGAGTGGGAGGAGGAGGGCGATGAGGAGGAGGAGGAGGAGGAGGAGGAGGAGGAGGAGGAGGAGGAGGAGGAGCAAGAGGAGAAGGAAGGATTCAGAAGGAAGGAGGAAACGGTGGAGCGGGGATGAGCCTCTTCATTTGAGATGTTGAGGCGTTCGGGTTCGATTTCTGGGCTCGGGTCTTCGGTCTCAAGGTTCGGGTCTAAGGGTGAGGGTGTCATGGAAAGATTGTTCGGGTTTGAGTGCTCTCGTGGATCTTCTTGGGAGCCTCATGGGCCCTCTTGGGGCCATTTTGGGCCGTCTTGAGGCCGTCTTGGGCTGTCTTGGGGCCATCGTCGGCCATCTTGAGGCCCTCTTGGAGTCCCAAGAGGCCCAAGAGGCCGAAATTGTTGATTTCCCATAGGTCTTTCTATGTTTTGAGGCCCAGAATGAGGCCCTCCAGAATGAGGCCCTCCATATATATATATATATATATATATATATTACGAGGATTTGAAGACGCCGCCGAGCAGGAAGTGCACATGCAGGAGCTTAGAAAAATCGCCTCTCGGATGCCTTTTGGGCCGTTCTTCCTGCGCTCCTGGGGACAACTTGTAGGTTTTTTTGGGCCCTCTTGGGGACCGCTGGGGCCTCTTCGTCGCCAAGCGTTGGACTCCAAGCTATGTAGAACCGGAGCGCGCGCGAAGCGCGCGCGATGGTTCTAGTATATATATAAATATATATATATATATGCACCCCCTAAATGGGAGGTTTCACAGGGTAGTAACGTCTAGAACTGAAGCGGGGTCCGTCGAACCATGTGGTTTGTCCGACTCTTTGGCGTCATGCGCTCGGTTTGCCAGAGGCCTCGTCGCTCGTGCAGATCTCAGTGGAGCGGCAGGCCTCTTGCTCGTCAAGGGGCAGGCCCTCGCAGAGCTCTACAGACCGCCAGGCGCGGGGGCGGTTGGCCCAACGCTGGCGCGCCCTTTCCACCAGAGGCGAGGGCAAAACATTGTCCTCGTCCATCCGTGTCCTTCGTCTCCTGCACCATCCATCTGTTGTTGGGGTATCCTCGGATTTTGCACTCGAGTAGACTTCCGCGTCGAGCGCGGTCTCCCGCCATATCGGTGGCCTTCGCTACTGCTGTGAGGCATTTTCAGTTCACGTGTTCATTCGTGGAGCTGGCGCTCATATAGTGGCATAGCTCTGCAGTTGTTCCAGTGTTCCAGTTTCAGTGCTATGGCGGTCAGGGCTGCGACCGATTAGACTGCCATTGAGTTTCCCCAAATGTGTGCGTTTTCTTCTTCCCGTCGCGCAATGCACGGGGTCAGAAGATACAGTTCTGGGACATGCCGTATCTGCGTCCTCCCATTCTTGCTCCGTGTCCTCCTTCTCCTCCTCTCCCCTTCCTCCTCTGTTTTCCCCCGCATTTGCGGGCCGATTGTCGTGACATTTTCGTTGTTCGCTGCCGCCCTTGGTAAAGCGTTCTTCGGTTGCGGCGGACGCCTCCCCAGCCGTCTGTCCTGCGAACGGGGTCGAAATTCGGAGCGGAAGTTCGTGCTGTCCATCGGTGGCGCATAAGAAAACATCTGCATCGATTTGTCTTCATTTCTGTTCCTTGCCGGTTCCATTCTCCGCCATTTCTCTCCGTCCCCACCGCCCACCCCTTCCTCTCTCGCCCGCCCCTGCCCGCCATTCCTGTCCGTCTCCCGACGTCGACCCCCGTTCCTCCCCAACCCCAGCGCCCCCGTTGCCAGGCAACGCGCTTCTGTGGCGCGGCAGTTCCCCCCGAGTCTCCAGAGTCGCAGGCCCGTTTCGGGCTTCAAGGCCATCAAAGTACGACCCGTGGGCGGAATGGCGCCCAGAGGTCTGGGCGCCCTCTCCCGTGAAAAATCACGTCGTCGGACGACGGGCAAAGTTTTCAAACGTTGAGTTCGTTGTCCCGCCCAGGGGCCTCGAGCTGGCGTGTGCCGGCGCCGCGGGTCCGGCGTGGCGGGGCGATGACCCACGCAGACGAGGGGCCCGCGCGGCGGCCGCTGGACCTTGAGAAGCGAAGGGGAGGAAGCGGATGAGGAGGGAGGGGGGAGGGGGGAGGAGGAGGAGGAGGAGGAGGAGGAGGAGGAGGGAGGAGGAGGAGGAGGAGGAGAGGAGGAGGAGGAGAGGAGGAGGAGGAGGAGGAGAGGAGGAGGAGGAGGAGGAGGAGAGGAGGGAGAGGAGGATGAGGAGGAGGGAGGGGGAGGAGGAGGAGGAGGAGGAGGAGGAGGAGGAGGAGGAGGAGGAGGAGGAGGAGGAGGATGAGGAGGAGGGGGAGGAGGGGGAGGAGGAGGTGGAGGACGAGGAGGAGGAATCACATAATAAAAACAAGACTAGTAGTACTAATAGTAGTGATAATCGTAAACGCACTGCTCTGAATCATAATATGAATAAGGATGCGAACCATAATAAGAAAATTAGTATGCAGGCGAACAGCTTTGAAGATGAGTTAGTTGAAGCGGTTGCGAATGCCAAGGCGCATCTTGACGTTGACCAAGTGGGCATCTCCGAACGTGAAAGGTTTCTCAGCAGGGGGAACACAGACGTCGACGTCGGAGCCAAGCATGGGCTTCAGCTTCACCCTTCGGATTCAGCCAATATGTTAGAGGATGATGCTTTCGTTGCGGTCACCCTATTCTATCCTTGCTGCCGATTCATTGCCCCTTTGGCTCAAACTGTCTTTAGACGTGCCATATGAGCCCTCTCCTGCCCCTCCCAGACCTCCCACAGTCTCACACGCCTGGAAGAAATGGTCGGGCATCTGGAGGTGTGCTCAGTGTTTGCTCGGTAAAAGGACACCGCAAGGAGCCCCTTCCAGGTACTTGCTCCAACAGGTCGAAGCTAGATGGTCACGTGCTCCAGCGCCTGGAACATCGTGTCTTGGCGTTTCCTGGTTCAGGTGGTTCCGTGCTCTTCATTTGTAGTCGGTGCAAGTGCCACTCCGCGGGCGCCATGTTCGTAGGACTTTGGGAAAAGTGTGCAGGCCCACCATCTAGGCATGCGGCCACAGGGTGGAGAGTTCTATGCCCACGGTTGCGGTGGACAGCGTTCTCGTTCTTGCCGTGCTTCCGCGTGGGGTGCGCCCGTCTTTTCAGCCCGAGGTCTTGCTGCGGAGGCGTGGCCTCGACCGTGGTGACCGGGGGTATCCCCAGCCCGTGCCCACCCCATCCTTTCTGGCCCCGTCCTGGTTCGACACCTGGACCCTGCGGGCCGCCAGCACAGCAGAGGTTGATGTCCTGTGAAGCTGGCCTTTGCCTCTCTGTCGGGCCTGTCCCCGGCCGCGTGCGGCTTCAGCCACCCACCACTTCTCTGCGCCCGCCGCACGGTGCATTTTGCCCATGACATCTCCCACGGCTGTTGTAGAGAGGTCGCCCTGGTGGCTGTTGTGGTGAGGTTGTCGAGGTCCACCAACAAGTCTCCCCGTTCTCTTCCCCAGAAGTCCAGCGGCCATCTTGCGGACCCCTCGGCGGCGCGGGCCATCGCCCCGCCGCGCCGGGCCCGCGGCGCCGGCGCGCGCCAGCTCGAGGGACGAAGGCGGGACAACGAACTCCACGATTGAAAATTTTGGCCGGCATCCGACGTCGCGATTCTTCACGCAAGCGGGCGCCCAGTCCCCTGGGCCCCGTGCCGCCCGCGGGTTGCATCTTGATGGCCTCGGGGCCCGAGCCGGGCCCGCGCCCGTGGGAGCTCAGGATGAGAACCGCCGCGCCATAGAAGCGCGGTGCCTGGCACGGGGGTCGCTGGGGGTGGCAAGGAGAGGGGAGCGACGTCGGGAGACGAATGGTAAGGGTGGGCGAGAAGGCGGGGAAGGAGGGGCGGGTGGGGGTTGGGTGGGGAAGAAGGGTGGGGGATGGAAGAGGGGAGGAACAGTACAGAGGACAAATCAATGTTGAAGTCGTCATGTGCACCAGCAAACAACCTCACGAACTTCCGCCCCGCATTTCGGCTGCGCTCGCAGGACAGACGGTTGTGCCGGCGTCCGCCGCAGCCGAAGAACGCTCCACCAAGGGCGGCAGCGCGCAAAGAAAATGTCGCGAACATCGGCCCGCAAATGCGAGCGGAAGCAGAGGAAGAGGAGGGGGGGAGAGGGGGGGAGAAGGGGGAAGAAGAGCGGGAAGGGAAAGACGCAGATGCGAAATGTCCCAGAATCGTATATTGTGACCCCGTGCGCTGCTCGACGAACAGAAAAACACCCGGGTTGGGAAAACTCTATGGCAATCTAGTCGGTCGCAGCCATGACCGCCATGGGCGAGCCTTTGCGCGCAGCCCTGAAACTTGGGCATTAGCAAGACTGCAGAGCTATGAATAATTGCAGAGCTATGTAACTACTGCCATGAATGACCACGTGAACTTACAGGCTTACTGCAGTAGCGAAGGCCGCCAGCACGGCGGGAAACCGCGCTTGACGCGGAGATCAAATTAAATGCTATATCCGAGGGTGCCCCCCACAGCAGATGGATGGAGGGGGAGGAGACGAAGGACAGGGATGGAGCAGGACAATGCACTGCCCTCGCCTCTGGTGGAGTGGGCGCGCCCGCGTTAAGCCATCCGCTTCCGTGCCCGGCGGGTTGTAGAGCTATGCGAGGGCCTGCTGATTAGAGAGACATCCGCCGCTGCCGCGAGAGCTACGCGAGCCATGAGGCGCGTGGCAAACCGAAACGTATGAGGCCCAAGCATTAGACAAAACAGATAGATCGACAGACCCCACTTCTCTTGTGGGCTTCCCTCCCCTGCGCAACGTCCAGTTCAGTATGGGGAATCAATGGCGGAGGGGATAGGGGGCGGGTGGGGATGATGCGAGCGAGGATGGAGACGACGAGGGGGCAATTCAGGTGTGGAAGGGCGAGAAAGGGGGAATCATGCGCTCACGAAGAAGCACTGATGCACGTCAGTAGCTGAAAAAGCTGGTTGTCTTGATGGGTTGGATGGAAGGTCCCGGCTGGCTAGGTTGGTTGGATGGGAGCTTGTACAGCCCAGGATCAATGGAGGAAAAACCACCCGGACCGGACAATTGGCGTTTACTAAGCGGCCCTGGGCGTTAACTAAGCAGCCCTGCCCTATTTGATTCCTCCTTTGGGTGCGTTTACTAAACGGCTTCTCGTGTCGGGGTGGTTATTATCGGGTTGGATGTTCTGCCCTCTACAGGAAGAACCAAGGTAGTGGTCGCAACTCGCGGGGTGCCGCTCGGCGATCGCTCGGGGCTCTGGTGCGAGGGGGCCCGCCTGCATGGCTAGGGCCGAAGGCCACCTTGCAGCGGAGTGCGCTGTGAGTGCCGAGAAGCACATCGCGCAGAGTATGTGATGATGGTGGTTTTAATTGTTATTAGTGGTCTTACGCGTATGTTTCGGAGGTTGATAGACCTCCTACCCTAACACTTCGATTAGCGAATTGGCCGTTTTCGGTTCGCGAGAGGGCGTCGTGGCCGTCATTTTGCGGGTCCAGGTCCGTCGGTTTCGGTCCCAGGCCGTTTTCACTGAAGGGTGGTTTACTGAAGTGAGGTTTGTCCACCGCCGATTGTTGCTCACATCGTACTTAAGGACCACATCCCAGACATAATTTCGAGCACCCAGAAAGGTGTCAGAACCGTGTCGAAGCAGTGTCGGACGAGTGTCTGCCACGACCCGACACGTGAAAACCCTTGAGTTTCGGTATTTTTTTCTGGTGTTCGATTTTTTCTAGTGATCAAGGCTAAAGTAGGTTGGAACATCATAATCTTACGCCTCTACGGATCCCTCCCGTGGCTGTCCGCACACACTGTTCCCTGCGAGCCAGCCTTCCATCCCAGGGGGATGGCCTCGACATCACCGTCCTCTCTCTTTCCGCCGCTTCCCTCGTCTCCTCCCCCCTCCCACCTCGTCCTTCTCATCTGGCAGTGGAGGGAACGAAGAGCACGAGGGTGAGCGCGAAGACGCCGCGAACGATGACGCGCACACGACCCTCCCGTTCGGATGCAACTCCTGTGAGGAGGTAAAACTTGATTTTGCCCTGGTCCTATATCCAGTTTACTCCGGCTTAATCCTGCTTTATCTGGCCCGATCCCGTTGAGTCCAGCCTGATCCCGCTAATCCGCGGCCTAACCCGGCGTAGCAGCCCCCCATCCCCTTCCGACGAGTACCTCCCAGTTGCCCTTTCTATTTGTTAGGAGGGTCATAACTGCTTCTTGGAAAGGCATCTATACTTTTTGGGGGTCCTATCTACTCTCGGGGGGGTCCTATCCACGTGTTGGACGGTGCCTACTGGGGGTGTCCTATCTACTTGCTGGGAGGGTCCTATCTACTTGTTGGGGGGTGTCCTACTTACTTGTTGTGAGGGCCTCCTGACTCCCGCCAGGGCGACGAGCACGAGGGCGAGGAGTCCTGTGAGGCGCCGCCGCCGAAGACCCCCCGGATCGCGTCGCTGCTCGCGGGCCTCCCAGCCCCCGTGGCCGGCGCCGGCGACTGAGGTCGCCGTGAAAACGAGCGCGGGCGACGGCCGCGGCAGCGACGACGGCGGCGGCGACGGCGACGGCGACGGCGACGACGGCGGCGGTGGCGGCGGCGACGGCGACGGCGGCGGCGACAACGAACAACGACAACGACGACGACGACGGCGACGGCGACGACGACGGCGACGACGACGATACTGGCGGCGGCGGCGGCAGCAGCCACGGCGACGACGACGACGACGACGTCGACGACGTCGACTTCGTAGCGGCCGCGGCGACAGCAGCGGCCGCGGCGGCTGCGGCTGCAGTGGGTCGGATGGGGCGAGGCCGAGGGCGAGGCCTAGAGGGCGAGGAGCCTCTCCGGGAGGGACGAAGAGGTGGCCGCGGGGGGGCGAGGAGGTCCAGGAGGAGGGGAGAGGGCGGGGACGGGGGAGGAGGTCGACCAGACGTAAGAGTCACCTTTCGCCGGAGTGACCCTTGGTGCGAGCTCATCGGGGTCCCCCCGATCGCTGAACGCGAAGCGGTAGCAGCGGCTTGCGCGCCTGGGTTTGGCCACCCCGCGTCCCCCCTAACGCCGCGCACCAAGGGTCAGTTAGCTGTTGCCCAGGGTCACTCTTGCGTGTAGCCGGAAGATGAGGGGAAGGAGGAGGGTGCGTGAGGTTCTCTCGGCAGCCGACATGCTCCAGTCGAGGAGACGCAAGTATGGATCGAGGCATTTGGATTAGCGAGGGTCCCGTTGCCATGCTGGATCAGCACATGCCTCCTTCAGGTGTGGCGGCACTGGCGCCATGTTTCTGGGGTGGCTTCCCCGATATATGGATCTGGCGGCCACGCGGCAGATCCTCGGATCCCTGATCCATGTTATAGCGTGCGTCCAGTTCAACACCTGGACTCCCTGCGTTTTTTTCCAGACTTCTGATCTGCAGGGGTGTGGCTCCCATGTGTGGGGCGGCCCTCGAGAGGGCAGGAGGGCCTGTCCGGGGCGGCTCCTGCCTTCACAGAGTCCTCCTGACGGCATCCGAGTCTTTTCCAGAAGGCCCCTTGCCCTCTCAGGCCGCCCTTTTCCACCTCCTGTGCGCGCCGCCAGGGGGAAGCTGGGGGGCTCGGAATGAGCAGGAGAGGAAAAGGAAGAGGAGGAAGAGGAGGAGGAGGAGGAGGAGGAGGAGGAGGAGGAGGAGGAGGAGGAGGAGGGAGGAGGAGGAGGAGGGAGGAGGAGGAGGAGGAGGAGGAGGAGGAGGAGGAGAAGAGGAGGAGGAGGAGGACGAGGAATAGGACAACAACGACGGGGGTAGTTTGGATTGCGGCAGCAGGAGTGTGTTCGCGAGCTCGAGCGGAAGCCGGAGGAGCATGGGGGAGGGGGAGCGGGAGGAAGAGGAGGAGCACCACCAGCCGAAGCAGAAGCCAGAGGAGGGTTTTTGTTCCACCAACGTTTGGGACGATGCACACTGCTCGCCACGAAGTGCCCTGCTGCGGCCATTTTACTCCCATTTCCCTGACAGTAGGAACGGGGAGCACCGTGGGAGGGGAGGGCCCCGAGCAGGCTCCATGAAAGCTCAAGAGGGGCCCCAAGATGGCCCCAAGATGGCCCCAATAGGGCCCCGAGAACACCCAGGAAGGGCCGGGCGAACCCAAACGGGGCCCCAATGGCCCACAACAGCGCCCAGAACAGCGCCCCAAGAGAATCCAACAAACACCCCCAAGAGCACCCAGGGAAGTCTGACAAACAAATGGGAGGGAAACGACAAAAGGGGTGGAGGGGAGGGGGGAAAGGCAAGCTAGGTGCGCGCGCGTCATATCTGACGTCCTACCCCTCCCTCCCATCCCTTACCATGGCGCTGATTTTCTCTATCCGCGGACTAGTGGGTGGTGGTGCGCGTGCGTGCGTGCGTGCGTGTGTGCGTGGTTGTGGTGGTGGTGGTGGTGGTGGTGCTGCTGCTGCTGGTGGTGGTGTGTGTGCTGTGGTGGTGGTGGTGGTGGTGGTGGTGGTGGTGGTGGTGGTGGTGTGGTGGTGGTGGTGGTGGTGGTGGTGGTGTGGTGTGTGTGTGTGCGTGTGTGTGCGTGTGTGCGCGTGTGCTGTGGCATGGCACGGGAAATGACGCCAGCGCTGCAGCGGGAGCACGAGTCGAAACGGAGCGGAAGCGCGGAAATGAGGCCAGCGCTGCAGAGGGAGCACGATTCGGAACGAGCGGAAGCACGGAAATGAGGCCAGCGCTGCAGCGGGAGCACGATTCGGAACGAGCGGGGCCCGAAAATGAGGCCGGCGCCTCGGCGAGAGCAGCATTTCGAAAAAAAAACACAAGCGAAAACCCGTTCCTCGGGAATCCTGTGTGTAAAAAAACAATACGCGGGGGGGTGTCGGATATCTTCGGGACGCCATCAGGGGAAGTGGGAGAGTATTTTCATATTGTGTAATTGTGAAGAGGGGGCATTCCACTGCCGCCATTTCACTCCCATTCCTCTGACAACAGGAACGGGGAGCACCGTGGGAGGGTGGGCAAGGCGGCCCCGAGCAGGCCCCATGAAAGCTCAAGAGGGGCCCCACGGTGGCCCTAAGAACGGCCAGGAATGGCCCAGCGAGTGAGGGTGGATGAGGAATCGCTGGAGGAGGAGGAGGAGGAGGAGGAGGAGGAGGAGGAGGAGGAGGAGGAGGAGAGGAGGAGGAGGAGGAGGAGGAGGAGGAGGGAGGAGGAGGAGGGAGGGAGGGAGAGAGGAGGACGAGGAGGAGGAGGAGGAGGAGGAGGAGGAGGAGGAGGAGGAGGAGGAGGAGGAGGAGGAGGAGGAGGAGGAGGAGGAGGAGGAGGAGGAGGGATGCACAGGGGACAAGGCTCGGAGCAGCAGCAGCAAGCAGCAGCAGTAGCAGCAGGCGGCCGCCGGGGCAAGGTGCAGCAGGAGGGCCAGGGCGACGGGAGCAGGCGGCGGGAGCAGCAGCCCGCGGCGGGGGGCAGCAGCGGCACACCGCAGCGGCGAGATGCCCAATTTCGAAGGACGACGAAGACGACGATGCCGACGACGACGCCGACGCCGACGCCGACGACGACGGCGACGGCGACGGGGACGGCGGCGACGGCGACGGCGACGGCGACGGCGACGGCGACGGGTCCAAGGCGGGGGTGATGACTGGGGCGGTGGAACTAATATGAGGGGCCATGGTATTCCCCGAGATGTCATAAGCCCTCTTCTAATGATTCGCATTCGTATTATGATTATGATGCTTCTGATTCCTTTTCTTCCTAGTCTTATCCACTTTTTGCCGTCGTCCTCTTCTCGTTATGCTCCTTCTATTTCATTGTTGTCAGTCGTACTGTTCTTCTTTCCAGACGTCCCCTCGTCCCCCCCTCGTCCGCGCGCGCGCGCCTCCAACCCCCCTCCCGGCGCCTCGGACCCCAGGACGCCGGCAGCTACGCGGGCGGGCACGGCGGGTACGGCGGCGCCGCCCGCTACGTCACCCTGCCGCCAGCCAGCGGGGCTGCCAGCCGAGGCCCCGGCGCGGTGCCCGCCCCCGCGCGGAGCACGCGGCCTCCGCAGGCTTCGGTTCGGCGAGGGCCCCCCTCCTCAGGCAGGTCCATTGGCATCGCTGGGGCGTGTGCATTCTTTGCTCGGCGAGGACCATGGGACGGCCTTGTGGGATCATCTTGCGAACACAAGCGCGCGAAACCGAAGAATGCACGGGGAATGGACGTCCGAGCGATGGCGAGGCCCTAGTGGGAGCGCAGCGAGAGAGGTTGACTTGAGAGCCAGGTCCGCTCGGGCCGGCCAAGCTGACACGAACACTGGCTCTCGACATGAAGGGGTCCAGAGGGGAAGGTTCCGAGGTGTTTTCGCCTTTTTCGGGCCTCGGGACCGCGGGGAAGGTCCCACGGGTCCTGTGTCCATGTCTTCTGGGTTCTAGGACCGTTTGTTTGATGCCGTTGTTCTGTGCAAGCGTGCTTGTGTTGAGCAAGCTCTGAGACGCCAGCCTTGCACACCCCAACCCTTCGCTTCTGGAATCCTTACTGCGGCATGCCCACCGCGATGTCGATCAATGCAGGTTTCGGTGTTGATGAGCTGGTGACGTGGGTCATACGAATCATCGAGGTATGCGCCGGCGCCGGATCTTTGACGCGTTCCGTCTTGTAGGGAGCAACGAATGTCGAAAGCAACCATGAATACACTTTTGATGTCCTCATGCGCACACGTTTCATGCCAGCAGTCATAAGCACACATCTGAGTCATCGTCTTTCCGCTGATCCGATGTATCTGATCGCCTCTCCTCCTGCGCGGCAGCACTCTCCCGCTCTGAGCCGACATGTCGTGCCGCACGGCTTGCGATCGAAGGCGTGCCTGTACCACGTCGCCGCATCGAGCAGCTCGGGGCATCTCCCCGCCGCGCCCTCCCTGGCCCGCCGCGGCCCGCCACGCGCCGAGGCATCTCCCCGACGCCGACGTCGCACGGGGCCCTCGCGCCGGCCAGGCGCCGCCGCCGCCGCGCTGCGCCGCCGCCGCCAGCCGCCCTGGGCTGCGGGGGGCGGGGGATGAGGAGGAGGAGGAGGAGGAGGAGGAGGAGGAGGAGGAGGAGGAGGAGGAGGAGGAGGAGGAGGAGGAGGAGGAGGAGGAGGAGGAGGAGGAGGGAGGAGGAGGAGGAGGAGCGGAGGAGGAGGAGGAGGAGGCGGAGGAGGAGGCGGTTGGGGGCGGTGGCCTGCCAGTGGTCGGGCGGACAGGGCCACCCCCGCTTCGCAGCGGCTCTATATTGCTAAGGCCTTACGGCCGGTGCCGCCGACCCTGAAGACGACGTCGACGAAAACGAGGAGGAGGAGGCGGAGGAGGGATTAAGGTGGAAGGGAGCAGGAGAAGGCGAAGGAGATGTTCCCCATGTGGGCCGAGGGGATCGTAGCAGAGATACAGACAGGGAGCCTTGTGGCCTGCGGCCCTTCCCGCTACCGTGCTTGTGTTGTGGTTGAAAGGCCTCTTGGATGGTTTCGGGCCTCTGGGGCCTCTGTTGGGCCTCTTGGGGGTCTCCTGGGGGCCTCTTCGAGCCCCTTGAGGGGCTCTTGGGGCCTTCAGGGGGCTTCTTGGGGCGGGAAGCTCGAAATGTCGGTTCGTGGTCCTCTTCTGGGGCCTGCTTGGAGCCCTTTTGGGGCGTTCTTGGGCTGTCTTGAGGTTCTCTTGGGCCGTCTTGGGGCCCACTTGGGCTGTCTCGGGGCCTTCTTGGGGGCCTCTTGGGCAGTCTGGGGCGGTCTTGGGGGCCTCTTAAACCCAAAATGGCGAGAAAGCCAAAGACAGTGAAAAACTACCGGAAGCCGTGAAGGCGTCTTGGACAGATCGTTCGGCGATTCGGGGCACTCTTGCACCTCCTTGGGGGCCTCTTAGGTCACTCTTGGCGCGTCGAGGCGCTCTTTTTTGGGCTCCGGGACGCCCAGAGGCGGATGCGTATCTGACCCCCCCCCCCCGGGACTCCCCCGGGACCCCCCTGGGACCCCCCCCCTCGGCGGGGGTTGGATCAAAGATAAGGGGCTACCCTTCGACTTCAGTGCGACGTTGCTACGGTTTTTTGTCGCTGGCAGGCTTGAAGAGGAGTGTGCTGGGAAAGGGGACGACAGAGACGCAGGGAAAGAGGACAACGGATGCGTCGACTGAGCGCACGCCGACAGGGGGTCCACACGCCGTTGGCAGATTCCCTCGGGCTGGGCTCGCGGACTCCCGCCTCGGTGCCGCTCGGCTCGGCTCGCCGGCACCGGCTGGGGCCAGCCGGAGCTGGGCGCGGCGATGTTCGCGACTGCTCGTTGGCGATCCGGTCCGTTCCCGATCCGACCCGATTTCGCGGCTCGATCTGGGCGGATCGTAAGTGGGGTCAGGGTGGGTGTTGCCAGAGGTGTCCCCAGCCCACGCCCCCCCCAGGATTCTCGGGGATGCCCAGGTGGCCGCCAGGGCACCCCTCACGAGGCCGCGAGGGGAGAAAGGTCCAGATCCCAACTGGACGGTTCAGATCTCAACAAGACGGTCCAGATCCTGACCGGTAATGGAGCCCAAACGGTTCAGATCCCAACCTCGGGCTTCCAAGCGCTTGGTAGGCGCTTGATGGGCGCTACGTAGGTGCTTGTCAGGCGCTTTATAGGCGCTTCCTGAAGGCGCCTCCTCGGCTTCGTGGAGGAGTCCCGTGGGTTCCCCCAAGGCTTCATTCTGCGGATTCTTGGTGATTCCCGAGGGTTCCTCAGGGATTCCTGAGGGATCCCTGAGAGATCCCTGCGGGTTCCTGACGAATGCTTGAGGATTCCTGATTCCTGAGGGGTTCCCGAGGATTCCTGAAGGATTCCAGAGGGATTTCCTGAGGATTCTTTACGGATTCTGGAGGATTCCTGAGTGATTCCAGAGATTCCTGAGAGATTCCTGCTGGTTTCCTGAGGATTCCCGAGCGTTCCTGAAAGATTCCTGAAGGGTTTCTTGACGGGTTCCTGAAGGGTTCCTGGGGATTCCTTCAAGGTCGCTACCGCCGACGGGCTCTCTCTCACGCGCGCGGCCCCCCCGGGGAGATGGGGACGAGGAGGACGAGAAGGACGAGGAGGAAGCTACAGTGAGCGGCTTGAATAATAAACACTTTTTTCAAAAGAGGCTCGGTCGTTCCATACGCTTGCATGCTTTATGTATCGTTCCTTATGCGTTATATATTATTTACCGTTCCTTATGCGTTACTCCTTGGAAAAAGAAGTTTCGTTCCTTATTCATCTTTCCTCAGGTCAGGCCGATGACTGTATCACATGTGATGTCTTGTTGTCCCCAGTCGTTGAAGCGCTCTCGAGCCAGGCTGCTGTCGGGTAATGGAGTCTTTAGGCGGCCCCTGCCTGGTGGCCTGGGCTGCCTTGGTGCAGGAAGCGCCTCTCGGAGCCGTGGCCCGCGCGCGGATAGTGCATGGGCATGAAATGGGCCATGTATCAGTGGACTGGGCCCTGGGGCCCCTTGGCCGGGACCTCGACTAAATATGCGGGATCTGGGGTCCCGAGACGATCCAAAAGGGTTCTCAGATGTCTTCGGATCTTCTGAATTTCTGAGTCTTCGGCGCAACCCCTCGCGGCCACGGCTGCACAGATTCGTATATTCAAGCCCGAACGACTGTCCCACCACCCGTCCATATGCCATTTTCTCTTCCCCCCCTCTTCCTCTTCGTCATCACCGTTCTGCGAGCGTGGATGTTGTCCGGGGGGGTCCAGATCGGTGCCAGCGTTTTGCATGACCGCCCCTGGTCTCCTCATGAGGGCTCCGAGAGATCCCAGACGGCTGAATACGCCCTCCAGATTCGCCCCAGACCGCCTTGCGGGTTCTGGCAGATCGGGGACGGCCCCAGAGTGCTTCAGTATGGCCCCGGACTCCCCCGCGACCCTTCGAGAGGGCTTCGAGAGGACCTCCAAGAGGCGGCCCAGGCTCATGGACATCTTTTCAGTTTTTTTTGTAGTCATTTTCGCGTTTGCCTTTGCGCTGGTTCCCGACCGCCCAAGACAGCACAGGATGCGCCCATAAGGTCCACGAGACGGCCCAGAAATCGGGTTGATCCAAAAGGGCGTCCAGCGACAAGGGGGTGGTGCAATATTTGGTGCAATAGATTTGTGGGGTTGCAATACATTTGGGGCATGCAATACATTCCCAGGCGCAAATGTATTGTTGGATTTTCGCGTGCAATGCATTCGTCGCAATACAATGCGTTACAACCCTCTGGCGCAATACATTTGCAACACAATTGCCCCAAATCTATTGCTCCACTCCCTTTCAGCTGGACCCCCTTTTGGGTCGACCAGAAGAGAGACCCAAGTCGACCCAGGAGAAGCTCAAAGGAGGGTCCACGACGCCTCTCCGAGCCCCCCTGGTGGGCTACCACTGAATGCCGACGCAGCCGGTCAACCCCCAACAATTAGGCCGCCGAGAGGCTCCCAGCTAGGCGTCCTGAGACTGCCCAACTCCAGGAGGGGAACACACACACACACAGAGACACAATTAATCGTCGATTCCCCAGAAAATATGGGCAAATATGGGAAGGAGGGGGGTGGGGGAAGTCAAAAGCTTATAAAATAGTGGAGCATGTGGGGAATCCTGTTGTTTGTGTCTATTTATTTGTGTGTCCCAGGGCCCCTTCACACCAGTGCTCCGACATGGATCCACAATCCCGCGACGCTTCAGGAATGCCCCGAGACGACTCCCAAGAGGGCGCCCAGAGTGGAAGGCACACGATCTTAGCGGTTTGAGCCTCCCAGCTTTGCCAGGCTCTGGACCGCTTAGGGAGCTTTCCAGACCGCCCCACGTCGGCGCCTGGGAGACTTCCCAGGAGTGCCCACGATGAGAGCCCGTAGAAGGGCTCCACATTTACCGGCACCGCCAGACAACCCTCGAAAAAGGAAGCCGCTTCGGCGCAAGGGGAGTCACCATTTGCAGTCGTCAATCCTGTGCGAAAGCAGTGCTGCCGATGCAGCCCTTGCACCTGCAGCCGGCAAGCGGTCGCTGGCCATTGCGCAATGCTTCCGCTGGTGTTGCTGGTCCCCCTGGCGTTGGTGAGCCTCGACCTCGTGGTTCCGTGGCCATAGGCTGCGGGCGTCGGGTTGCCCCCGGTGCTGGCGCCCTCGGGCTGGGCTCCGAACGCGGTGATGCCGCGGCGTTTGGATTTATTGTCCGTACCCCTTTGGGCCGACCCTGAAGCATCGAAAGCGAAACTCATGACGATGGCGGTTGTGGGCGTCATTGGTTCTGTATTTTTTGTGGGCGCCATTCCGGTGTTGGCGTGGGTCTTCGCTTGCCAGTACAAGATTAAAGTGACCGACGATAGGCCGCCCCTCCAAGACGGGATGGCTCCGTGCGCGCGGGCGAACGACTTCGAGACACGCCAGTTCGGCTGCTTCGAGGATCGTTCCACCTGTCTGCATGCGCTGTGCTGACCACTGTGCCGCGCCGCGGACACCTACAAAGGAGCCGGCATCGAAGAGTACTGGTGCGTGATCTTGTACTTCATACTGGCCACCGTAGTCGGCAACTTCGTCGGCTTGATTGTCGAAGTCTTGATTTCCGATATTACCACTTGCACCTCCACAGAGCCGTGCATGGGAATCAGAGAGCCAGCCTATTTGGTCGGTTCCACTATTTCTCGGGGCGTGAATTACCTCCCCCGCTTTCGCTTCCAGGCAAAACCAAGCCATACCACGCGCCTCCTCGTCAAGCGGCCTGACCAGTACAGTCGTGGGTGGACAGAACCCCCAACAGTGACACGTCGATTAGTGAATTGTCCGTTTTCGGTTCTCGAGAGGGCGCCGTGGCCGTTATTTTCCAGGCTTGCGCCCGCCAGGTTTGGGCCTCAGGTCGTTTTCATTAAACCACCTTTTACTAAAGGGGGTTCTGTCCATCCCCGATACAGTCCGCAATTTGGCATTGTTTGGTATCTCTTGGAAGCGAGGGTGGTCAAAAGCGAAGTAGGTTTATTTTCCCCCGAATTTCGATACT